ACTTGCCAATAAAGCCAATTAGCAAACGAGGTACAGTTCGATGTTCCACAATAAGTCGCCAAGACTCATTTTTATTTAGGTTCTTATGATAAGTCCGCGGGGACTTTCATCGGTTCAACGGCTGTATCGTTTTCCATTATTTCGTAGGAAGGGGCACGAGTTTTTTGGGGTTTTTGTTTACATACCCTGGAGAATTCCATGTCTAAATTGGAACAGACATATTTTTATTCTTTGTTAAGACGAATAAAGGATGTTCCAAAAATGGCACACCTGACTGACACAGAAGCGTCTCAGCAACTACAAACCTCTCAAATAAGCATACCATGTTTCTAGTAAATATCGCATAGTTTAGCTAAGGTTCCATGTCAGTCAGACGTGCCACCTTTGGGACAAACTGTATTTTTTTAAATAATTTGGTACTTACCTATTATAACAATAAAACTTAGTTATCGGCGTTTTGTTTTACCATTTATACATATTTCCTGGTAGATAGATCAAGACATTGATATTAAGATCTACGTTCGCGGATAGAATAAGCGAACGAACGTGATCAGACGCCCATGTCCATATCCGTTGCCGACACGTGGCGCCGCCTATAATGTTTAGCAAGCTCGGATTAACTATTTAAATATTTACTTTTACGCTAATAAATCTCAATTTTTTTTTCGTTTTCCACACGCCATTTATTTGTGAGAAGTAAATAATGAAGGCAGAAATTATACTTCGCATTTTGTTTCTGTAAAAAAGGAACGTTTGTAACAACGCGCCGGAATTTGTGAATCTGATTATTTTAAATGGGCTAGCAAAACGAAAGCCATAATAGGTCTGTGGGGGTCCTAAATTCGTAATCTTTATTTATTGACTTAGGCGTCGTGTCTGGGCCATTCAGATTTATTACCATGAAGAAAATCACGCTAAAGCTAAGTACTACCTTATTCAGATACGGCTTTCACTAATCATTTGCCATCTGAGTCTTCAATCAATTATGTGTATAAAGGCAAAGTTTCCTACTTGAGCTGTAAATCAAAATCAGGACGTAACTAACAAACAGGCAAACTTATACGTGATGCGAGCAAGAAATAACTAGGCAGAACGTAAATGGAAGTTGCTGAAGCTAACTGGCGGGAACTAGGGAAGTTTTTGTCCGTTAATCTAGAGGTTGGATGATTCAGGAGTTGTTGCGTGTTGGGAACTCACGGCCGTAGGCTTATTATGCTTTAGGGCAGGGTTCGAAAATATCCGATATTTATTATAAATATCAAAATATCGGATATTTATGATATATATCCGATATATATCAACTTTGATATATATCAATTTTGTATGAAAGCCATAGTGTTATTTTATTGTATTACTCATGAATACTATTGCATATGTGTTACATAAACATGTTTTTAATGTTAATAAAGTAAAAACATTTAATATCTTTGAAATATGGCAAAATCAACTAAAAAAATAAAAATCTTATGTCAAAAAGTACAAATACAGTAACAAATTTGAAAAGTTGATATATATCATCAAAACCGGCTTGATATATATCGGATATATATCCGATATATATCCGATATATATCTTGATATATATCCCTTGATATATATCCTCGAACCCTGCTTTAGGGACCCGTGCTTGAGCAGTAAAAACGATTTTTAGTCGAGTAAAATACTGAGAAAACAGCGGGTTTGGTGCACTTAGTAAAATGTCAAAGGTCCTTTAAAAAGTGTTCCTGTCATGGCACATGATAAATCAAAACGTATTACTTCTAATACGAAAACCGTATAGAAATACTGTTAACTACTAGTTAACTCAAACCTTCGCGTGGTTAGAGATTTGAACCCACGAAAGTTGGTTTAGTAGGCGGAGGTGGCACCAACGTACTCTAGTTGATAGCACATGGGAATTTGTAACCAACGCCCACCGCACAGCTGTCTGTAAATCGAAATCTAACCAAAAGGTTAAAAGATTAAGAGATATTAATCTTTTAGAAATAAATACTTTTAGACTTTACTAGATTTTTCCCGCGGCTTTAACCGCGTGAAATTTAGTTTATCACAGATCGTCGTAAATTATACCCTGTATGTTATTCTGGGTTCTAAACAAGACAGTCTAAAGTTTCATCAAAATCCGTTCAGTAATTTTTGCGTGAAAGAGTAACAAAAATCCAGACGTCCATACAAACTTTCGCATTTATAATATTAGTAGGAGTAGGATTTTAGTAGGCGTTAGCGGGAATTTTAGTAATACATATTTGTATTAAAACTTGTTTAAATAATAAATCTTCAACACACACTTGCCCGTTTTTTTACATAATGCGTCAATGTAGCTAACAAAAGGACATTAGTGTTCGCCGATATGGTCTAAACTGGGACGTGAGTGGTTCTAACATAATGCCTCAACTTGACCTCAAATTTCCTGTAGCATAATCAAGTATGGTTACATAATCATAAATCATGCTATTTTTGAAAGGAACATGAAAATGACATAATTATGTACCTATGTAGACTATGACATAGTTAGTTAGACACAGCCTTAGATAGTTAAGACAAAACAAAGTATTACATTAATGATCCTATAATTAGTCAGTAGCATGATTACATGGAAATACATAATTACACATACAATTTTGGAAATTATATCAATGCTGATGTTTTTGCTTGATATCATTTGTTTAGTAGTCTATTTTGTTAATAACTAAAGTTCCTGAACTTTAAGTTAAGTAAACCCTGAAAATACCACTTAGCGGTTTTACATATTCATAACCGAAGCAGTACAGAGATTTCAAGGAATCGTCAAGTCCATTAAAGTCCGATAAAAAGTGGGAACGGGAAAATTCGTTTCTCACAGTCCATTAGACACGTAACTGTAATCTTGAAATGTAGAGCGAATTCAACAGCAAGCTCTGAAATCTATCAGCACATGAAAACTTTGGCCACATAACGTTTCGATATTTCACAAATGACATCTAGGTTCATTCAGACGACAACACATAAAGCTACTGTTGGATGGATCCCATAGTAGTATTAGGTGCTATTTATTGCCAAAAATATGTTGTCTGATATGCTGTTGACTATACAATTTGAAAATTGCAAAAAAATGGCAAAAATATGTATAAAGGTAAACCAAATAAATTACAAAATATTTACACATGGGCCTTGTTCTGTCTTTCTCTACTTATTTTAATAGCATGACTTTTTCTATCTAGGATTACATTTTACACATGTTACAGGCGGAGCACTCGCTCCGAGTTACATGAGTATGTAGCTGTTTAAAAAGTAGAAGGGTTGTTTTTATAAGGCTCTTTTGGACATGCTGTTGTATTTGGACTGTGCTCACCATTCAAAGTTCGATAACGCGGGTAACAGCGTCTCAAGGTTTAGGTGTACCAACTTTCAGCCGACTTTGCAAGTTTTAAGGGAACTTATAGTTCGAGTTGCGAAATTTAAAGGCGCACGGAGTAGTTCAGCCCAAATTATTGGCGTAAAGTGCTTTCGAAGTTCGAAACGACAGTTCATTCTATATTGTCTCGTCACCCTCGAATGCAGATGGAGGGTGGCAGATACGTATTTATACGATTTATATTCAGCTTCAGTTAAATGAGTTTTCTCTCGCTCGTTTGGTGAAGATATCGTGAAGATTCCATTTTTATATCACCTTTTCACAGAAAGAAAGTGTCATACCCGTTTTCACCATCAATCCTTAATAAAATGTAAATAAGTTTTAAGTGAACCCCTATGAAAACAAAAAAGAACCATCACTTGAAAAAAAATCATAACCCTCCTTTTGCTTTGCCGTCGTAGTCGGGTAATTAATTAGGGATTGATGGTGAAAACGGGCATCAGTCTTTTCATTATACAATAGTAAACTTAGGATTAGGACCCAACTCATTACTTCGCATTATATTAATATTTGTAATTATCTAACTAATTAGAACAGTAGAATACATTATACCAGATTGCGATACTAAAATGGGTTTAGCTACACGCTATTTCCGGAAATTAAATTTCCATCTCTCGGTGCGTCGGCCCGTGTTTGATTTAGTTGCCGTCGTGCGGCGTGCTCTAATATTCGTTTAGGTACTAAATTTCAGAGAGCCTCAACCGACAATTGTTTTGAAGTCTAAAATTAGACTAAAGCCTAATATTGACGTTACAACTTTAGACTCTACGCTACATGCTAAAAGGTTTGATAAAATGTGAGCATTTTTGTCTTTTCAGTTCCTTACTGCATAACATTTTAAATATAAATGTTTTATTAAGAGTTTCTACAAACTGCCTGAATAGTGTAGACTAGAGCTTCCTTAGTAGAAGGTTTCTAGTAAAGATTAGTACATAATTCCAGTAAAAAAAGTCAAAATTTCTTTATTTGTTTAGACTAATAAATAGTTCTTACAAATCGTCATTTTGCTCTTAAGGAGCCTCTACATGTCTCATAATCTTTTTACCCTACCAGCGCTTCGAGACCAACATTTGGCAAGTGCTGAGAAGAAGCGCCGCAACAAACTCAGTCACCACTGTCTGCCGGTTAATAAGTAAGATACTATAAAAAGTAAGATACTGATATCTTACAACATGCGAATTTATTTAACAAATTCGGGAATACTACCAGTTCTCACAAGTCAATAAAACATGAAATAGATACTGGTAAGTATGAGGTTTTACAACCCTCCTGAGTGGAATGCTTAGAGAGGACCCAATGCTTCTAAGAGGGATGAGATCTGTTAATAATTTAACATAGCTCTTAGGGTGACTATCGACAGAGTACAAACGACGACGGCACTTCAAGCTAAACATAGTGGCTTCTTATTTCCTTAGTGATAGAGGCGATTTTTGCAAGAAAAATGTATAGTCTCATGTGTGCTTTTATCTGTACATTAAGATGGCTCGTCTTTTAATCAAAAGTTCGTAACATTAAATATTTTCTAGGGACAAGGGTGCCACCGCATCGTCAGATTTTAAGGACCCCTGGAAGAATGAAAATTGTTTGTACTAAAAAGTGTGACTTACCTTTTAAATGTTGTGTAAAGTTTTATACCTCAGGAACATTAGGATGTGCGTTGTATTGACCTGTAACAATGAGATTATTGTTAAAGATAGAGTAATAAGAATCATTCGAATCATCAGCTAAAACAGAAATTGGTGCAATCTTTTATTTCGATCATAGATATTGTATTAAACTCTACTATTGCGAAAAGCTCGTGTGTAGTAGGTACTTAGTCTCTGCTATTTATGTCTTCTTCCCCGAACAATAAAATTCAAGGCAAGAATAAACAGGCATCTACTAGACAGGTAAAGTACCACTCTAGATAACATCTACAATTTATATGAATTGCTGCATGAAACTCCTAAATGTATTTAAAACATATCTTTTGGCACATTTATTGCATATTTTTGGTGAATCCAACACTTGTTACCGATGGATGATCGCGTTAAAATACAACCGTTATAGAATCATATAAGTCTCTAAGATATATATCACCTCATTATAAAATTATTATGCACAGATTGATTCCCACTGTAACGGGGTTTCTACGTAAGTATGATTACCGCTATCCTCAATTACTTTAGCTTATTTATACCGATATGCTGACGTGAACGGACGCTTCTTACTCTATTGTATGTAAATGCCGGATTATGATGCGCTAGAGCACTTTGGAAGTATTTGAAGATGTATTTGCAAATTTTAACCTCACATCTGTTGGAAAATATCCATTGAATTATTTATCATTAGGTTTAAAATTGATTAAACTCATTATGTATAATTAGCATTGTTATTAAGTTAGTAAATTAATGATTATTTATTTTGTTGTACTATAACTCGAAACTCTGTGTTTTCCTTATACGATAAAATTACAAACATTTATTGTCAAATTATAATATGAAAAGCCTAACCAAACAATAGGATTAATCAATTGAGCAATTAATTAATGAAATTGTTAGCCGCCGGTTCAAATTATCGGGTTCATGTGACCGAACGGGAAATTAATTTCGTATTCATTTACCTGTAGTGTACACAGTATGAAGCAACAAATTACATATTAGGTTTGTATTTTATTATCAAATAAAGGAAATGTGAGTTGTTTGTGTACAGTATGGTGATTAAGGTACGTACCAACCTACCTACACATATTTATATTAACTTAAGAGTGTAAACTAGAAAATTAAAGCACTTTCGGTTGCGTTGAGACAACAAGTACCAACACAGCAGCCTTCGAGCTTTATTACAAGAGAATAAGGTTCAATATTTAACAAAAATATTCCTGTGCAAGCTGGCTTTTAACGAAGTTGCCTTAGATAATAAAATATATCCCCTGGGCTTAACTCACCTCCAGTAAACATTTAAAATTCCTATGAAAGTGTCGCAAAAATAAAACAGGTGAAAGCCGTTAAAAAGGCGAGATTTTAATAGTCTTGTTAACTAGGGAAAGTGTTATAAGTACATGGTTAACGTGTAATTTTATCAGGCAATTAAATGGTGTTAAATACATTCTATAATTATTGAAATAGGTTAATGAAATAATCTTTCAGTCAAAGAGTAAAGAACACCTTTGATATTCACGTTTGACCCTTCGACCGGCAATCGATTTGCTATTAAAAACTTATAGTAGACACGACACACGCAGTACTAGCAGTACTAGCACTGAGGACAGAATTTAAATAGACCTTGACTTGACGACAATCATCAACAAATGTAAAATAAGGTAGGTACACCTATTCAACAAATTAATCTATCGTCAATTAAATTATAAAGTATTTTATTTGAATTATGTAGCTTCTATGAATGAAGAGACAATTAACTCTCTAGGTCCAATATGTCTCTACATCAAAATTCATCAAAAATTGGTTGTGAAAACGTAACAAACAAGATAATTTCTCGTTTATAATATAGTAAGAGCAGAAGCATACATGTGCTTTCAAACAAATTTCCCGTATAATCTCATTTGTAAGCTTGCAAGACTCGCAAAATTCTTCCCCACTTTTCTCACATCAAGGGAAGTGCTTTTACGTTGGAGGTGCGAAGTCGAAGCGCTGCATGAGTTATGATTATAAATGATGCAGAAGGTCGAGGTAAAGAGCAGAATGCCTTAAGGAATAATAACACACAAATTCGCCGACATACAGCCCGACGATTTGGTGTCGGCGGCTTTATTTCAAAAGTATCATATCGACGACTTGTGGTCCGCCGACTTCGGAGTCATAACTTGCCCGCCGACACTCAAGAAATAGAACACACGTCACATTTCTACACGGTTTTGACAGTAATTTCCAAAAAAAGTTGCTGATGTTGCGTGATCAACAAAGTTTTCCAATTTGAACGAGATGTGAAATCGTCGTCTAAACTGCCGCCACAAAAGTCGACGACTCATGTCACCAGGTTGGGGGTTAGGTGTGTAGACTGTATTAGCTTATTGGATATAGCGCTGAGCTGCCTAGAGCCAACTCCGGTAATCTTACACATTACCCTGTAATCCCTTGAATATTCGATCGTGAACGCGTGACTCGAATAGATAGTTCAAAAATGTAATGCATTTTTTTTTTTAAATTATGAGTGATGGCAAAGGCATAAAGTTAAAAATATTCAAATCAGTAATGAATGAGATAGTGATCGCCATTAGGGATAAGAGGCCGGGGTTCATAATTGCGGCCCTCATTAGTCGGCGCGCTCAGCGAAATTAGACTATATTTACGATGGAATTCCTGGATGGGTATTATGACCTGATTCAATTTTGGTAAATGCGCGAGCTTTCGACGACGAATCGTTATGACGCTGTTATCGCCGTTTTGGCGACAGGGCAGGATTCATTTAAACGATTTCATTTGAATAGCTTTTAGGTAATGTGACGTCGTTTAGAGAAGTCCCGATTGAATCAATTCATGTGACTTACCGAACTAGAACGATATCGCGTAATAATAGACTTAACTAACATCACCAAGCAGTCCTACGTTTATTCATTAAAAATCGCATAAATAACCAAGCGCGCACCAAGCCTAACTTTCTTACAAAAAGAAAGACGAAAAATACACTCTCATGTGATGTAATTAACATTGAGGATACTCTCATCGTCGTGCCCACTTGCTCGACGCTATCTCGCGTATTTAGGCCGAGCCACCGTGTTGGCATAACATTATGAATAATCTAACTGGTGCAGAAAGCTCTGATAACAATCTTGGCATTCACACGGCTGGATTTTATCTAATCTCCTTCTCTGGCACGTACACACACTACCGAGATTAATAAAGGCGAGTTCAAACCATGTCATTCATTAGACTATGAGCGAGCGTTAGGGCAGATTGCTTTGCCATATTCCATTATTTAAGATTATTTACACCGCACCGATGATAGGCGATTTGTAGCTTTCTATCTGGACGCTGGTTTATGTAGAGACAGCAAATTATAAGCACAATGATAATGAGAAACGCGGTCTGATACTGGGGTTCTGGTCACAGCGAATAAGTGGTCGATGACTGATAAAATTCTATTNTTATCAGTCATGAAAGAGAGAGACATGAAACGTATGAAATAGAATCTGACAGATTCTATTTCATACGTTTCATGTCTCTCTCTTCAGTCGTCATTGTTGACAATTGTGACACATCCTCCAGTCGCCGGTTTGTCGAGAGCAATGTTGCTTAGGATACCAAACTGCTGTGTCACTTAGCTTAGCTTCGGACTCGGCCTTTAGTTTTTTATCCTCGATTTTACAAGTCACCCAGGATTTCACTATTTCTGTGAGCTAAGTGACTGAAGTATTAAAGGTCTTTTGAACAAGACTGATGTAAACACAGCCTATTAATGGAAGCACGCCCGTTATATCCAACGATTTAGCGCCTATTAGTTAGCTCCGGCCTCTTAAGCTTAAATTGCTAACTCAGCCTCGATTCGCAATTAGTATGGAAGGAACTATGGAACTCAAACAACGGTATCAGCTGAAAATGTAGTAACTATTCAATACGATCCGCCGACTGGAACAAAACGTTCGCATGCAAACTAATCAAAAAGTTTCCGTCAGCGTAATATTACTAGAACAACAAACACGAATTTTGCCGACCTCATTTTTTTGCGTATTCTGCGACACGCTACTATACATATTTTCAGAGTTAGTAGACAATTTGCATTGACATAAAAACAGTAACTCAACCTTTAGGTATACTACATTACGTAATCAGCTCCGAAAAGCTTAATAACAATATTGACATAACATCTAACTATCAGTTGGTAATGATTTCGGATGGGTTAGTCTAAAAATGTTGATGATGCCTTATAAGTGAAGATCGCACACCAACTGACTCATGCGCGCGTGTGGTCCGACCGCTAACGTTGTTTGTTTAAGGCCTTTTAAAATATCCTCACAATAACCAAAAACCTTGGCTGGTGATTTACAAGATGCTTGTATGGCATAAAAAGTGCCAATTAGCAGAAGGAGTGGGTGTTTACTTTTTTGTTATGCTTTTCAAAATTGCAGTTTGAAACTTTAAATAATCCTTCAGAGGGCACATGTTTAAATAAGAATGCTTTTGCAAAAGATCCACAACATACGAGTACGTTTACGTAAATATACGACACATATTTTATTATCACTATTCTTTTACTAATAAATGGCCGGCGCCAATTTTATGATTTTCAGTTATCGGTTTGTCAGTTATTAAGTAGGTTACCTATTTTAATTGTACGATTGTATATTACGATACTAAAAGAAATCATATTTTATAACGTACTCGTAGAGACATACCTACACAATTATGAAGGTTTCTCAGTTAACTTATTCTAAGCACAATAAAACGAGTTTTCTTTTAATTGTGTAGGCGTACTTACGTAATATGATACATGGTAACGAAGTACCTACTTAATTACGGTACTTATGGTATGATTTATTAAGTCTGAAAGCAAAGCAAGAAAACATGTGTTGGACAAACGCTAAATTTCTCTTGCCTTGAATGAATTACTTTGAACTTTTTACTTTATGTAAAGGAGTTCTTAAATAATGTAATTTTTTACTTTATTTTGCTACAGTTCAGAGCTACGACTGTAGGATTATTCAGTTAGGTTTTCTTGAAGATCTTAATAG